ACATATATACACATACAGCCATACACATACACTCACGCAGAAAAGACACAACGTACTTGATGATAAAATAGATGCCATCTACGGGGCTGCCCTGTTTGACGATAGTGTCTTCAAACTTCAACGTCTGCTTCTTCAGGCTAAAGGTCATCATTTTCTTGTAGCGGGGCGCCCAGTTCTGGAACATGCGGAAATGGCGGACAAACTCTTTTCTCTGTTCGAACTCTTGTGCCTGAAAGGCTCTCAGTGATCTGGTAGCAAGGAGCGGGGTATTTGTATTTGCAGAAGCAAGAAATTAGACAATAAAAAACAAGGATAGAGAGGGAAAATTGTTAACTTTGCTTAATTTTCTAAACAAAAGTATTAGGTTCAATCGTGTTCCCATTCCTGTGAGTTGTAGAGACCCTAGCATACTGCTATGTCCAGGGGCCCATAATGCTGTTAAGGCTGCTCTGCCTCCACTTACTTCATCCAAGTGTTGATGGAAAGTGATTGGAGGGTGGGGGTGAGTGAGATGTAAGGATTTTTCGTGGGCTCTGTCAAATGCTTGGGTACCCTCATCTGTTCATCGTCGAAACTGCAATGCTTAGTGACAAAAAGCAGATGTTGACAACAGAAGAAGAAGAGAAGGAGAAGACGATAATTAATCTAAACACCCTTATTCCCCGACGCTCCCATCGCGTCATACGATAAATAATTGACAACATTAAGTGTCTTGTCTTTCATGCGTCTGTGGCTTAGGCGTTGCGAACGAGCTTTGTAATGCCGGGGTGCGGGTTCGATCCCAGCTGCGGGCCTTGCGCCTTGCGTTGTTTTCGACAGTGGTATCGAGAAGCCGACCGTCCAGAAGCAATGGCAAACTACTAGACGTAAATGTGCCTAGAAGAATCACACAACAGCCCAAAAAATGCTGGGGTTGGTTCTGCACCGTCCTGTAAAGGATACACAACTAACTTATAACTGTCTTTCATAGTGAAAGCTAACTGTTGCGCTCACCTGTTATACAGATCCCTGTCCACACAAAGTAGGTCAGTGGTCTCATCAGCGATAATCGTGGCGTTCCTGACGCAGTCGGCGTTAATGAGGGCAAGTTCACCAAAACTCTTACCAGCATCTGTTCAACACAGATAACAGACAGTTTGTATCAGACACATACATCTCAGCAATGAAACACTTTATCTGTCTGGTCTTTCTACTTTTGCCAGCATCTTTTCAACACAGATAACACACAGTGTGTATCAGACACATACATCTCAGCAATGAAACACTTACTTTGTCTGGTCTTTCCACTTTTACCAGCATCTTTTCAACACAGATACAGTCAGTTTGTATCAGACACATACATCTCAGCAATGAAACACTTACTCTGTCTGGTCTTTCCACTTTTGCCAGCATCTGTTCAACACAGATACACACAGTGTGTATCAGACACATACATCTCAGCAATGAAACACTTACTCTGTCTGGTCTTTCCACTTTTGCCAGCATTTTTTCAACACAGATACAGACAGTTTGTATCAGATACATACATCTTAACAATGAAACACTTACTCTGTCTGGTCTTTCCACTTTTGCCAGCATCTGTTCAACACAGTTAACAGACAGTTTGTATCAGACACATACATCTCAGCAATGAAACACTTACTTTGTCTGGTCTTTCCACTTTTACCAGCATCTGTTCAACACAGATACAGTCAGTTTGTATTAGACACATACATCTCAGCAATGAAACACTTACCTTTTCTAGTCTTTCCACTTTTGCCAGCATCTTTTCAACACAGATACAGACAGTTTGTATCAGACACAGACATCTCAGCAATGAAACACTTACCCAGTCTGGTCTTTCTACTTTTGCCACAGAGCTGGTGGTAGCCTTATGCAATATTGCGTGTGCAACTGCCAATGTGTTATAACTTTTGATTCCATCAACGATGAACTGCAGTTATTGTGTCGGATTGTGTTGGTACTTTAGAGGACTGCCGTTTGCCTTTAATGTATGTGTATGCTAATAGCTTTGCCAATACTGCAATTTAGTTTTTAGAAGAGCTAGCGATGTGCATTCTGTATAGTTTTTCACTGGCATTGAAGCGAATAATTACGGGGTGATTGTCACTTTTGAGTCAGTAGAAGAACTATGATGTTGCCTGACTTTTTTGTCAGGCGTTATGAGATCATGCCATTTGTTCCAATCCCAGGTGTTTTATGTTGGCTTCAACCCAACACTTCCCTAAATACAGAAGTTTTAAACTGTCCGCCAGTCAGATAACAAAGCTAACTGCAAGTACGAGGTGCGTTCAGAAGACAATGGCCCATTTGGGTGTCTCTTGAACAGTTTGTACAAAATGTATGGAATGAAATTCACTGACGATGCAATTCATTATGACTTTTCAATATCATAAGTTTTGTTTGATGATTCCCGTCTACTTCCGCTATTACAAAACAAAGGCGTGTACGCCCTGACTGCGTAAAATTGCCCCCCCCCCCCCCCCCCGTGTGTGTGAAGCCCTGTCTTCCCACCATGAATAACACCCTCAGACCCATATCTCAATGAACTGCAGCTGTAACTCTTTGAACCGAGCGACCAACGTCGTTCCTATCGACTGCACAATTTTCCTACACAGCAAACAACCGTTTACGAATGTCCGCCGGTTCTCCCGCAACCAGAAATGAACGTACGTAACACACGCGGTCCTTGCATTATGTTTTAACAGATTAGAACAGTTGTTAATTTTGTCGAAATGAGTTTCGATCTCGTACACACAATATTTCGATCTCGTACACACAATATTTCGGTCTCGTACACACAATATGTCCATCTCGTACAAACAATATTGTGATCTCTTACACACACTATGTCGATCTCGTACACACAATTTTTCGGTCTCGTACACACAATATGTTGATCTCGCACACACAATATTTCGGCCTCGTACACACAATATGTCGATCTCGTACAAACAATACTGTGATCTCGTAAACACAATATGTTGATCTCATAAACACAATATGTCGGTCTCATACACACAATATGTCGATCTCATACGCACAATATGTCGATCTCATATACACAATATGTCGATCTCATACACACAATATGTCGGTCTCGTACACACAATATGTCGGTCTCATACACACAATATGTCGGTCTCGTACACACACTATGTCGGTCTCGTACACACAATATGTCGGTCTCATACACACAATATGTCGGTCTCATACACACAATATGTCGATCTCATACACACAATATGTCGGTCTCGTACACACAAAATGTCGGTCTCGTACACACAATATGTCGGTCTCCTACACACAATAAGTCTGTCTCATACACACAATATGTCAGTCTCGTACACACAATATGTCGGTCTCATACACACAATATGTCGGTCTCGTACACACAATATTTTGATCTGGTACACAAAATACTGAAATTGTAAATTTAAATTGTGCACAACGTGTCTCTCTTAATTATTTATTGTAAAAGAAAATTAGAGGCCCTACTTTCTGAATGCCTCTCATTTGAATGTGTAAATTGCACCAAATCAAAGAATGACAATCCAAGCTCTACTGGGTCATCATAATCACCATCATTATCATAAAAAACTACGATAACAACAAGCTTCATTAAATGTAACACACGCTGTACCCAAATGACAACATATACCAGAATCGTATGTGCAGTATGAGACTAACCAATTTTCCCCACGTAAATGCCGTACTTTGACCTGTCCAGTGGCCTTCCGGTGGTGTCCTTGGCCCAGGCGGCCTCCTCGGCAAGTTGGGTTTCTTTCACCGATTCGTACTCCTCCTCGGTCAGTGTCGTGTTGATGTGGATGGAGACCTTACCACTCAGGATGATGTAGAAGCTGCAGAAGAGGTCATACCTATGTATACGTTTGTTTGTTACTACGTGTGTGTTTGTTTGTGACTACGTGTATGTATGTTTGTGACTACGTGTGTGTTTGTTTGTTACTACGTGTGTGTTTGTTTGTTACTACGTGTGTGTGTGTGTTTGTTACTACGTGTATGTTTGTTTGTGACTACGTGTGTATTTGTTTGTTACTACGTATGTGTTTGTTTGTTACTATGTGTATGTTTGTTTGTTGCTGCGTGTGTGTTTGTTACTACGTGTAGGTTTGTTTGTTACTATGTGTGTGTGTTTTTGTTACTACGTGTGTGTTTGTTTGTGACTACGTGTGTGTTTTTTTGTTACTACGTGTATGTATGTTTGTGACTACGTGTGTGTTTGTTTGTTACTACGTGTGTGTTTGTTTGTTACTACGTGTGTGTGTTTGTTTGTTTGTTACTACGTGTATGTTTGTTTGTGACTACGTGTGTGTTTGTTTGTTACTACGTATGTGTTTGTTTGTTACTACGTGTATGTTTGTTTGTTACTGCGTGTGTGTTTGTTACTACGTGTAGGTTTGTTTGTTACTATGTGTGTGTTTGTTTGTTACTACGTGTGTGTTTGTTTGTGACTACGTGTATGTTTGTTTGTGACTGCGTGTATTGATGTTTATGAAAATTAGAAATGTGATGACCAAAATCAGTCTCAGCAATATGAGAAAAACATTAACATTTATTCAGATAAACAACACATTTAAATGGGAATTGTCATACGAGTGCCTTGCGAACATGCATAGGTGATCATGCCTCTCCACAATATACAATCTTCAACAGAATGTATTATTTCGTGTGCTAACATTCCAACACGCCATGACCACAATCTGTCAAGAATATTTTCCGGTTGTCTTCTACTGTTTTTCTGTCCACAGATCTCTACAGTCGCATCAACATAGTCCAGTTTAATTATCAATTGGCACGTGTAAAGTTAAAGTTAATGTACCTTTTCCATGCCGTTAGGCTTATTGGGTATATAGGGCTAGACTTAAAGTTTTATAGACCACTCGACACTTAGTGAGTGATGTGGTCAGCATCACGCCGGCTGGCTTTACTTCCCAGGACTGCACCTGGTATCCATTCATGGCTGGGTCGAGCTGGGAGTTAAGATCATTTTTTTAAAAAAGGTTCGGCTCCATCAGGACACGAACATACGACCTTTCGATCCGCAGGCGGGCTGCTAACCGCCAATGGAGTTTGTTTGTATGTGTGTGTGTGTGTGTGTGTGTGTGTGTGTGCGTGTAGATACAAACACACATATAATCATTGTATGGTTATAATAATATTCAATAAGCATGACTGTTTATAATAAAACATAACATGTCACAGAACTCTAGCGAAATTCTGTACAGATGACAAAATAAACACGCAGAAGTCTAAAAAGTTGACAATAAACAGAGATAATAGAACTTCAGAATTAAAAACAAAATGTTAAAATTTGATTCTACAAAAGTGGGATAAAGGTCTAATATATATATATATATATATATATATATATATATATATATATATATATATATATATATATATATATATATATATATATATATATATATATATATATATATATATATATATGTGTGTGTGTGTGTGTGTGTGATATATATATATATATATATATATATATATTATATATATATATATATATATGTGTGTGTGTGTGTGTGTGTGTGTGTGTGTGTGATTTGAAATTATATATTACATTACACACACACAGACACACACATGTGCACACACAAATATATACACACATAGATATAGATTTACAGAACTGTGCAAAAGTGGCTGGACTCACCAGTCTCCTTTGTCCATTTGTCGGATGATGACCGTGTCCTTTTTGATGACCTCGAACTTGCAGTTCTTGACAATGTCTCGGACAATATCTGATAATTATAGGATTTAAAATGTCAATGGCCCGTTGCATACGTTGTTTTAAATACTACATACCATGTTGAAATCTAAGAGTCGGAGACGCGCTGTTTATGTGTGTCATGTGTGTGATACATATGTTCTTCCACGCTATTATGCTAAACCACGACCGGCTCCAGTGGAAATATGGTGCTGGTGACGTCACCGGTTCGGGCTATTGATGCGTTAAAGCAGCTGTTCTCAAACTGGGTGCCAAGACACCCTGGTGTGCCGTGAGCGTAACCCCCCAACCCCCCGCCTACACCGCAAAAGTGGTATAACAAAGACAGTTATTGACAGTATGGTCGCAGTTGTCTGTTTTCTGTACTGTCAGTCATTTATAATACACACGTTCTTACACGGCATTATGCCAAACTGTCCAATCCCTTCTCTCTTGGCCTCCTTCTGTCTCCTGTCGCCTCCAACTTCCCCGTTGTCACAGGCGTACTTCGGTTTCCTGGTCTCAGTGATCACTCAACACAATGTAGATAGCCTCGTTTTGAGACTGGTAGTCAGGTCTGGCTCTCAGCACAGTTCGTGGCGACAGCCCTACCCATGTAGCTCTAAAATAACCCAGGCTCAGACCTCCACCCCCCTCCCCAAAATAACTTTTCACGACCCTTACTTACACCACAAAAGTGGTAAATATATGCAGCGACTGCAGTTTTCATCAGTTCTCGTTGCAAGTTAATTTTCTATCAAAAATCTTCATAGCCCCATCTGATGTCGATCGCGTTCTTATTAACATTTATAAAACTGCTTTTTATTCCCTACAATGTTTCACTAACTGGCGAAATGTCTATGATTTACTTCTATACATGAAGACTGGTTCTACATAGATCTTAAGAACTCTCTGAGAGCGACATACCTGTGTGCAGAGACTGAAAGAGGTCGGACTTCTTGGTGAACCAGGGGAGAATCTGTGTGATCTCATTGTCGCTTCTCTCCTCCGGTGGTTTGTTGATGAGAGTGACCACCTTGTCGTAGAGGAGACTCATGTCCGGTCACTGACCACACGGAAAACAGCAGACCTGTGTCTGAAACAACAACATTTACATATGGAGAATCACAACGCAGCTTTTATTTGCTAGCAAAAGAAAGAAAAAATCGTCACTTTCAGTCCGCATCCCCGATGGGGAGCTTCAGGTTATAATTGTGAGTAGGTTATGTGCGCCACATAGAACGGCTTAGCATTGCACGAAACCAAGAGCTCTGAAAAGGACCTCTGCAGTGTTCATGGAATCAAAGAAGACACACCCCAATACAGTCTCGACCGGCGACGAGTCAATGGGCGACCAGGTCACTGATGTCATAACAACGCAGGGTGCCAACCCCCTTGTAATGGAGGGCGTAGAAAGTGGGGGAAGGGGATGGAGATGAACAAAAAAAGGAGGAACATGAGACGAAGAAGAAGAAGAAGAAGAAGAAGAAGAAGAAGAAGAAGAAGAAGAAGAAGAAGAAGAAGAAGAAGAAGAAGAAGAAGAAGAAGAAGAAGAAGAAGAAGAAGAAAGAAGAAGAAGAAGAAAAGAAGAAGAAGAAGAAGAAGAAGAAGAAGAAGAAGAAGAAGAAGAAGAAGAAGAAAGAAGAAGAAGAAGAAGAAGAAGAAGAAGAAGAAGAAGAAGAAGAAGAAGAAGAAGAAGAAGAAGAAGAAGAAGATACATTAAAAACCTGAATGAATCAAAAGAAATCACACGCCAAATTCATCATGTTACGTAAATACAACCGACAGACGTCCCTGCCCAGTAAGCATTCCCACGACTGTCCAGACCAGTCCAGTCCAATGAGGCAACCATTCCTACGTGACTTGTCGAAGAGCTTTTTATTGTTATTCATATTCATTATTATCTGGTAGTTTAAAAAAAATAGTTGAGGTCCTCCAGAAAATAATGGGAAGTCAAAGGAAAAAGCGCTGAGCTCTCCCTCCCCCCCCCCCCTTCCCCCCCCCCCGAAAATAATAGGAAGTCGAGGGAGAAAGCGCTGAGGCCCCTACATCTTTTATTCTTGTTGGCGGTGCTCTGTCTTCGAGGGCAAGCTAGGCGATTATCACGAACGAAAGAACGAACGAACAAACTTTATATTTTCAATGGGTTAAGAATTGGACACGCAACTCGTCTAACATTCTGCCCTATCTTGCATACAGTATTCATTTTTGTTCATAATTAATCTTTTTTTTTAATGTAACATTTAAGTCTTAATTATAAATGCTAGAATGTGCTCTAGTTATAAAACTTTTATTACTTGCTGTTTATCAAGCAAGTTATTTTGTGGAATGCTATTCTTATCATAAGAGCCACGAGAACACCACAGACAGCTTAAAAAAAAGCATAATAAAGATAATCATCATCATCATCATCGTCGTCGTCGTCATTATCATCATTATCATCATCATGTGCCCTGTCAGTTGGCGTAGGCGCTCATGCTTCTTCACAGATCATGATCCCTGGTTGCCTGGAACAGCTCTCTTGATGATATCCCTCCACGCCATCGTTTCTGCCCATTTAGCATCGTCTCTCTAGGTCTGCCTCTACCCCTTTTCCCCACTATTTCCAGTTGTCACGATGTTTTCCAGTGCCTGTCTACTCTTTACGGGGCATTATAAAGATGTCTTGAAAAAGAAAAAAATATTGACAAAGAGAGCGAATTATCCCCGTTAGAGTTAAACAGTACCCATGTAGTGGAAAATTGCAGCAGGTACTTCGTGACAAGAGACTTGGAGGCGAACAGAGATAGAGGGAGAATGCTGAGCATTTTGGTTTCATGGCTCCCTCTGTGAGTAGCAAGGCCCCGTTTCTGTGTGTGTGTGTGTGTGGGGGGGGGGGAATAAACCCACTGCCCCCACCCTAACAAGCATGTCGTAAAATTAGTCTACGTAAACGATGTTTACTCCGAAGTTTGAGTACATCTGTCTGAGATGAGAGGAACCAACAGCCTGTAAAAATACGTTTACAAATAAGCCAGACATGTAAAACGGGTGTGCACCCAAAACTCAATTTCTGGAACAAGATTAAAAGTGCAGAAGTGGACGAACAACCAGAACTTTCCGCCAGAGCGTTAACTCATGGGCTTCGAAACAGAGAAAACACTGCTGTATGACTTCTATAATGATAGGGAATGGGCTGATAAGTCCCATACACATTTTCTGAGGGTAGGAGTTTAAATCCGTTCCCCTACAATCTGTTTCAGAGGGTGAAAAAAAATGGGGGGGGGGGAGGGTCAAGTGGTCTGCTCTTATTTTCCCGCGCCCCTGTATGAACCCCTCATAAACAGACATAACGAACTCCACAAACAAGGAAATTGCACTTCAGGGGACCAATCTTGATCAATGTTTGACGAAGGTCGAAGCCAGACACAAATAACGCGCCACAATTAAGGCGGGGTTTAGCGCGCCGACGACCGTAATCAACCGGTGCAGTCGTCAACAATGGTTGCGTTGTTGTGCCGTACGCTACTGTAATATATATTCTAGTTGGGGGAGCAAATTTTTTTGCTGTTGTTGCGTTTTGCTTGAGACTGGAGGTGCTGTTATCCTCGGCACCCCGCAACTTAGGCTACTCGAGCCAGTTCCCTCGAACAAGTTTACGGGCCTCAAGCGCCATCCCCCCCCCCCTCTACATAAATTTGTAAGGAGATAAAGCCCTCCCCCTCACCACCACCCTCCCCCCCCCCCCCACTCCTCCGCTAACCATAAAAAGAGGCTCTTTTCTAAGTACAGTATTTGTTTATACATTTCATTGTAAATCGAATTACATTCAGGCATTCGTCTTTTTATTAATTCGCACTTAAACAAGGCTTGGGTCATTTGACGCCCCTCTCCCCCTTTTTGGACAATTGCGTCATAGAACATCGCCAGACAGAACTGATGCAGAAAACAAAGAACGGACGCACGTCGAGTAACATAAGCGTACACTCCACCCGGCAAGGGACCTGATATGGGCGCCAAACCTGAAGGACCCCCCCCCCCCACCCCACCCCACCCCACCCTTTCCGCAAATGCTCAGCTCACGCAATAATTTATTAAGGAAAAAAAAAGAGGCGCCCATTTTTCCATGTACTGACATTGTCTTTTAAAACACACGTGTTGATGCATTTTATTTTATTTTAAGAACGTTATTATTTTTATCTCTACTTCAGTGCTCTAAAAATACTATAATAATAAATAATATTAATAATAATATGCTAAATGTGAAATACATTTTATAATTAAAATCATATGATGTGTAAAAAAAAATTCTGTGAAAGATCATTTCTATACTTGGTTTAAGGGGTCATCATGGTTTAAGGGGGCATCATGGTTTAAGGGGTCATCATGGTTTAAGGGGGCATCATGGTTTAAGGGGGCATCATGGTTTAAGGGGTTATCATGGTTTAAGGGGGCATCATGGTTTAAGGGGGCATCATGGTTTAAGGGGGCATCATGGTTTAAGGGGACATCATGGTTTAAGGGGGCATCATGGTTTAAGGGGGCATCATGGTTTGAGGGGGCATCATGGTTTAAGGGGGCATAATCTTTTAAGGGGTTATCATGGTTTAAGGGGGCATCATGGTTTAAGGGTGCATCATGGTTTAAGGGGAGATCATTGTTTAAGGGGTCATCATGGTTTAAGGGGAGATCATAGTTTAAGGGGTCATCATGGTTTAAGCGGGCATCATAGTTTAAGGGGAGATCATTGTTTAAGAAAGCATCATAGTTTAAAGGGGTCATCATGGTTTAAGGGGTCATCATGATTTAAGGGGAGATCATTGTTTAGGAAAGCATAATAGTTTAAACGGGTCATCATGGTTTAAGGGGAGATCATGATTTAAGGGGGCATCATGGTTTAAGGGGAGATCATGATTTAAGGGGGCATCATGGTTTAAGGGGGCATCATGATTTAAGCGGGCATCATGGTTTAAGGGGGCATCATGGTTTAAGGGGGCATCATGGTTTAAGGGGGCATCATGATTTAAGGGGGCATCATGATTTAAGGGGGCATCATGATTTAAGGGAGCATCATGATTTAAGGGAGCATCGTGGTTTAAGGGAGCATCATGGTTTAAGAGGTCATCATGGTTTAAGGGGGCATCATGGTTTAAGAGGTCATCGTGGTTTAAGGGAGCATCATGGTTTAAGGGAGCATCGTGGTTTAAGGGAGCATCATGGTTTAAGGGGTCATCATGGTTTAAGGGGGCATCATGGTTTAAGAGGTCATCATGGTTTAAGGGAGCATCATGGTTTAAGGGAGCATCGTGGTTTAAGGGAGCATCATGGTTTAAGAGGTCATCATGGTTTAAGGGGGCATCATGGTTTAAGAGGTCATCATGGTTTAAGGGAGCATCATGGTTTAAGGGGGCATCATGGTTTAAGGGAGCATCATGGTTTAAGGGGTCATCATGGTTTAAGAGGTCATCATGGTTTAAGCGGGCATCATGGTTTAAGGGGGCATCATGGTTTAAGGGGTCATCATGGTTTAAGAGGTCATCATGGTTTAAGCGGGCATCATGATTTAAGGGGGCATCATGGTTTAAGGGAGCATCATGGTTTAAGGGGGCATCATGGTTTAAGGGGGCAACATGGTTTAAGGGGAGATCATGATTTAAAGGAGCATCATAGTTTAAGGGGGCATCGTGGTTTAAGGGAGCATCATGGTTTATGGGGGCATCATGGTTTAAGTGGGCATCATGGTTTAAGGGGTCATCATGGTTTAAGAGGTCATCATGGTTTAAGCGGGCATCATGGTTTAAGCGGGCATCGTGGTTTAAGGGAGCATCATGGTTTAAGGGGGCATCATGGTTTAAGGGGGCAACATGGTTTAAGGGGAGATCATGATTTAAAGGAGCATCATGGTTTAAGGGGGCATCGTGGTTTAAGGGAGCATCATGGTTTAATGGAGCATCATGGTTTAAGGGGGCATCGTGGTTTAAGGGAGCATCATAGTTTAAGGGGGCATCGTGGTACTCTTACCAAATGATTGGTTAACCCAGTTTAATGTTTAACCCTAAGGGAGGTTATAATTACGGC